ACCCGCGACTTCCCGCGCAGGGCCCGGCCCGACAATGACTAGCTGCCTCGGCGGCGTTGGAGGATGCGGCCGCGGCCCCGGATAGCAGCAGTGGAAAGCCGGGCGTGTTGCAGGTAGGAGCTCGCCCGCTTGGCGGGCGCGGAAACTTGGGCCGAGTTTGCGAGCTGCTCGTGGGGAAGGGGCGGGTGGTGCTGCCCCAGGGCGCCCCTACTGGCCGGCCCGGGGATGGAGCGCGCCGGGCCTGGGCCGAGGTGGTGCGGCTTCTAGCTGCCCGGGCCCCCCGGCGGGCGGGTTACCGCGCAGGGATCGCGGCGCTGCACCGACCTACCTCGGACTTCGAGGCTCTCGGGGCCTGACAGAATTCGGGATTCCGGCGGGGCCCGGGCGCCTGATGCGGCAGCAGCGCGGACCTGGCGAGAAGCAGCTCGGGCCGAGCCCCCAGGCCTCCCGCGGGGCGCGGCTCACGTGGACAGCCAGGGCGGGGATGGGGGGCGGCTGGGGGCTGAGCCTGGAAACAGTGGGCGCTGAGGCGCCGCGGGGCCCTGGACGCGCCCTGCTGGGGACGGGACGGCCCTGCGGTTTCCTCGCCACCGCTTGACTCACCCTCTGGCCGCAGCCCAGGCTGGCGGGATCGCCCCGAGGCGGTGGCTGCCCGAACTCTGCTGCCGAGCCGCCCCCTGCTCCGGGACCTACCGCTGGCCTGAGGGCGTCGGTTCGCGGGGCTCGGTGCGCGGGCCTGCCCACGTGCACACGTGTGCCCGGGGCCCGCGCGAGGGAAGAGCGCAGTTCTGGGGGGGAGTGTGCAGATGTGGGCCATGCACGTACGCGCAGGCACGAGTTTGCATGCGTGGCGGCGGCCTGTGTGTCAGCCTGCCGGGGTGCACGTGCGCCCCTGCGCCGCCGGGCGGGGCGTGGGGGCACCCGGAAGCCCGCTGCGTCGAATACGGCTGCGGCCCCAAAGTGAGGTCGGCTGTGGGACCCAAAGACCGGAGTTGCCGGGCCATGATGGGGGAGGGGAAGGCCGATTCCCCGATTCTTCCCCCTCTGCAGACTTAGCTGCCCCAGGTTTAGCTGTAGCTTCGGGAGGGGAGAGCACACTGGGGGAGGGGGCTTGCAGCCCTCCGAGAAAGGCTAGACGTTGCTGGCCACAGCTGGGGAGCTTTCTGCTCTTTTTCCTCGTCTATCTAGAGGCTTTTAGGAGGTGGAAGCGGTAATTGGGCCACAGAGCTGTTGGCTTCCCTGGCTAGGTAGGGTACGTATGGCACAGGGGTGGTGGGCTGTTTTCTTGGGTCCTGTCTGGAGTTGGAACTGGGCCAGGAGGACCGACAGAGCTGCTTTCCCTCTCAAAGGGTGATGTGACCCTGTTGCCTGGGGTCTGGCTGCAAGCTCTCGATGGCCTTCTTTATGTGTATGTGCCAGAGAAGGAGATACCTACGTTTTGGCTACTGTCTTGAATGGCGAGGGGCCTCGCTTGGAGGATTGTATCCTGGGCTCTACTGGCAGGAGATAAGGTCACACCCATGCCCCTCATGGTCTTCTGCTGTTCCCTTGGAGCCTCCATCCCTCCCAGAAAGACTCCTGAAAATCCCAGGTGACCTCACCTCTATTGACTGGGTCCCTGGTGAAGTCTCCAGGGCAAAGGGCATGAGAGGAGCAGAGCCCAGGAGGGAAGGACTCCTGGGGCTGGGGGTGGGTATGGAGCAGGCCCCAGGGAGCTTGTGGGGGGAGGTGAGACTAGAGTCAGCACTTAATTAATCCAGCGCTCCTCAAGGGCAGCAGGGGGGCTCAACACCCCAAAAGCCATACAACCCCTTCTTGCAAATCTGCTGTGGAGCTGGTTGCCCCCCCCCCCGCCAGGTGCAGGTCCCCGTCACAGCGCACTGCTAATGGTACTCTTGCCTGTGCCTTACTGCCTTCCTTGGAGCATCTCCCACTCTAGGCTGGCCTGAGGTGGCAGATTCTGGCCAGGAGATGAGCTAACTTTCTTAAGAGTCCTGCCTTGGTGCATTCAGGCTGAGGAGGGGGTGGGCATCGCCCCCCCATACTACTTTAGGCTTACCCCATCCCCAGAATGTGCTGGTCTGACTCTTAGCCTGTGGCTGTCATTGGCCACGAGCCAAAAGGGACGAGAGGGCTGGGAGAAGGGGCTGGTCCTTGCTTGTTGGTGAAGAAAACCTGTGATACCTGGCCCATGGCCTAATCACAGCAAGATTGAGATGATTCATCCTTCCTGAGCCACCTTGGGTTTCAGGAACCGGGTGCTAGAAGAGGCCAGTGTGGGCCCAGGGGATGGGCTTCAGCTGGAGCCCATGATGGATCACTGATACCTGCTGCATCGAGGATACCCACACTTGACCTTTCTGGGCCTGGGTCTCAGTCCTTGCTTGACCTTGCTTCAGGGTCTTAGTCTTTCTCTGGCACTCAGCTGTTCCATCAGTGCGATGGAAATAGTTACTGACTAGCACTTTGTGGCCCCTGGGGCCCCCCTCCCTGGATTTTCACATCTCCATCCACCTCTTCCCCATGTCCCTGGTGCTGTGCTGCCCCCATGTGCCATGGAATGGCCACCTGCAGCTTGAAGGTTGGAGATGGCCAGGGCTTTCCTAGCTTCTAGGACCTTCTTGCTGGTGTCACAGCACCATCTGCTGGACAGCCTTGACCCTCCTGCTTGGAGGCCGAGCTGGGGTAGAAGGTGGCGTGGCTTGTACAGATACCTCCCTCCTGGGGACGGCCCTCCAGAGCCAAGCCCAATAGCTCAGCATTAGCTCTGGGCATAGGCTCTGGGTTCGAGGCCTGGCAGTACCATTTTTTATTAGACTGGCAGATCAGAGTGTCACGGGAAATCTGTGAATTTGTAGGCAGTGCCTGGATTCTGTGTTGTGGCTGCAGTGGGCGCCTTGAGATCAGTGGTGTCTTAAAATAGGAGCCTGCAATGGGAGGCAGGAGGCCTGCTTCTCATCCTGTCTTTCCTCAGTGACTTTGAGACCTCCAGTGAGTCTCCTCATCTGGAAGGCAGGGGGTGGTAGCCAGGCTAAGTGATCTTCAGACTGCGCCCTGCAAAGTCTGAAACCCTGAGGAAAGGGTCTCGGGTCATGTGGAGGAACGCTGAACACAAGGGGCTTCTGAAGTGAGGGTGGGGGTTATGTGTAGGGCTGCTGCACAAGAAGTCATTAAACAGAGGGTTCTGCAGCGTAACAAAGAAAGTCGTTGGGAACCTCCATATTATATGATTCAGGCAGGCAGGCATGTTTTCGTTCATTTGTACATTCTTAATGGAGCATCTCCTAAGTGTCAGGTTCTCGGGTGTGGCAGGGAGCCAGCAAGAGCAGCAGCCCTCTCTTGCTCACCCATGGTGTTTTTCTGACAGCATCTGCCTCTCTCCCTCTCTCTCCCAGGTCAGCAGTGCAATAGCAGGGGCCAGGAGGCCCAGAAGCCTTCACAGTGATGGCAGAGAAGCGGCCACTGGGGACCCTGGGCCCTGTGATGTATGGCAAACTGCCCCGCCTAGAGGATGACCCGGGGCCTGGGCACAGCCTGCCCCCCTCTGCTGGCAGCCAGGACCCTTGCAGCTACAAGGGTGCCTATTTTTCTTGTCCCATGGGGGGTGCTCCTAAGGCCGGGTCTGACCGACTGGCATCCTGGACCCCTTACCCACCCATGTACCCCACCAGCATGGCAGGACCCCCACTTCGGGCAGACGGTCTGTTGTCCAACTGCCTGCTCTACCGCCCACTGGCAGACGGCTCTGAGAAGGGGCAGGACTCCAGCCCTGTTGGGCTCCTGCCATACAGTCCCCGGGCTCACTCCTACCCAGGCCCACCACTGGCAGCGCCAAAACCTGTCTACCGCAACCCTCTGTGTTATGGGCTCTCGACTTACCTGGGAGAAGGGGCAGCCAAGAGGCCGCTGGATGTTGACTGGACATTGGTAACTGGGTCCCTGCTCCCCCCTGCTGACCCACCCTGTTCTCTGGCCCCAGCTCCTGGCAAAGGCCAGCCTCTGGATGCTACCTTCTTGCACGGGGTACCAACTGGGGGATCTGGCAAAGACTCCTCCATGAGCTTCTCTCCATGCCAGGCATACCTGGACAAGTATCGGACCATCCACAGTACAGGCTTCCAGGCCTCTAAATATGCAGGTCCGTACTCTGGGGACCCCAAGCAGGCAGTGCCTGAGGGCCCCCCTAGTCCTTGGACCCAGCTGGCCCAACCTCTGGGACCAGCCTGCCAGGATGCAGTGCCCACCCAGTACCCCCTGCCTCATGCTGCACAGGCCCTGCCTTGCCCACCAGCCTGCCGCCACCCAGAGAAGCAGGGCAGCTATAGCTCAGTGCTCCCGCTGCAGCCTCTGGGAGCCCACAAGGGGGCTGGGTACCCACCTGGTGGCCTGGGCAGCCCTTACCTGAGGCAGCAGGCAGCCCAGACACCCTATGTGCCCCCAGTGGGGCTGGACACTTACTCCTACCCCTCTGCCCCCCTCCCGGCACCCTCACCAGGCTTCAAGCTGGAGCCACCTCTTGCTCCACGGTGCCCACTGGACTTTCCCCCCCAGACGCTGGGCTTTCCTCATGCCCGAGATGACCTCTCTCTCTATGGGGCGTCCCCAGGACTCGGAGGGACACCACCTTCCCAGGACAGTGTGCGGGCTGTGCCTCAACCCAGTGCCTTCCAGCGGGCATGCCAGCCTTTCCCTGCCAGCCAGCCACGCTTAGAGCCCATGGGGCTCACAGGGAAACCAGTGCAGGCAGCTGAGGAGAGGACATGGCTCCCTAGCTGCAGGAAAGAGCAGCTCCAGCCCCGGCTCGACGAGCACCCCAGGGCACCTATTGTCATCCGAGACAGTCCAGTTCCCTGCACGCCACCAGTGCTGCCCCCCTGTGCCCAGGAGCATCAGTCCCTCCCGCACAATGAGGGCTCGAGTCCACCCAGCTCTCCACCCATGCCCATTATTGACAATGTCTTCAGCCTGGCCCCCTACCGTGACTACCTGGATGTACAGGCACCTGAGGCCACATCTGAGCCTGATCAAGTCCCAGCCACCAACGAGAGCCATGATGAAGACTGTAAAGGGACCCTGCCTGCCCAGCAGGCTCCCCTGGGGACACACTGCTCACTCAAGGAGGAAGTGGCACTGGACCTGAGTGTGAAGAAGCCTGTGACAGAGACGTCCCTTGTCAAGGTCCCTAGTCCTGTGGTGCATGCCAAGCCGACAGATTTGCTGGATATTGGGAACACAGTCACAGGCATGCCAGGTGTGGGTAACACAGCATTGGATCTGCCTGGTGCAAAGAGCACAGTCTCAGACGTGCTGGGCGGGAGGAACACAGTCTCGGATCCACCAGGTCTGAAAAATCTAGTCACAGAGGCACCCGGGCTGCCTGGGGCACCAGTGACCGCGGAGGCCACACCAAGGACCAACTTCCAAAGCTCCGTGGCCTTCATGTTCCGAAAATTCAAGATCCTCCGGCCAGCACCCTTGCCTGCAGCTGTGGTCCCATCTGTGCCCACCTCAGCCCCTGCCCCAGCGCCACCAGTACTCACCCCGACATCTGTGCCCGTTGGATTGCAGATTCTCACCCAGCCCTTACCTGTGGCCTGCTTCAACCTGGCACTGCCCAGCCCTCCAGCCTTAGCCGTGGCCTCCCCTGCTCCTTCACCTGCTCCGGCTCCAGCTCCGGCTCCTGCTCCAGCTCCTGGTCCTGCTCCAGCTCCAGCTCCATCACCTGTTCCCGCCTCAGCTTTGACTCCTGCTCCAGGCCCTGCTCCCGGTTCTACTCTAGCCCCAGCCCCACTGGACTCCGCAGAGCAACGCTTTGCAGGGCTGCACGCATCCCTGTGTGACGCCATCTCGGGCTCAGTGGCCCACTCCCCACCCGAAAAGCTGCGTGAGTGGCTTGAGATGGATGGGCCTTGGGGCCGGGCAGCATGGCAGGACTGCCAGGGTGTGCAGGGGCTGCTACGCAAGCTGCTGTCACAGCTGCAGAACTTCGTATGCACGCATCAATGCCCCTTCCCCCATGTGGTGAGAGCCGGCGCCATCTTCGTGCCCATCCACCTGGTGAAGGAGCGGCTCTTCCCGCGGCTGCCCCCTGCTTCTGTGGACCACGTGCTGCAGGAGCACCGTGTGGAGCTGCGGCCTACCACGCTGTCAGAGGAGCGGGCTCTGCGGGACCGAGCCCTGCACGGCTGCACCTTGCGCATGCTGAAGCTGCTGGCCCTGCGCCAGCTGCCTGACATCTACCCTGACCTGCTGGACCTGCAGTGGCGTGACTGCGTACGCCGGCAGCTGGGTGAGCATGGGGCAACCCCAGTAGCCACCAGAGCTGTGTGAGCTAGTGACAGGTGTGTGAGCTGCGTGAATGGGTCACAGCTGGGATCCTGGGCTGCCGGGAAGAGCGGGATGCTCAAGAACTCATGCTAGGGTGGAGGGCTGGTTTCTAGGGTATAGACTTCCTTCATAGGCCTCTGAACACGCTTGACTGCTCGGTCCCTCTGAAAACTTTCCTGACCTTCATTGGATTCCCTTCTCCTCTGCTTATGCCTTCTCCACCTTTGGTATGATCTTTTCCTTTGGTCTTGCTGTGGCTTTGGCCAGTCCCAGGTTTCTGTCTGTATCCAGCCCAGCCTCCCCTCTTTTGAGCTAATCCCAAAAACTAACTACCTGCTGGACTTTTGCATCTCGGGGCCTTTCAGACTTCCCAAACCACACTCCAGAGTTTTCTGTAAGCCCACTTCCCACCCCAATCTTTGCCATCCCAGTGATGGCACCACTGTTCACCCAGCTGCTCATGCCTGAAATCTGCTGGGGTCCCACCTTCCCATCCCAAACGGTCTTTTCTCTGTGTGTGTATTTTTTCAGCCTTCCTAGACATTTATACCATTAAAAAGACAGGAAAGAAAGAAAAGACCAAAATGGATGTCAGAAGAGACTCTGAAACTTGCCCTTGAATGTCGAGTAGCTAAAGCAAACGAAAGAAGTGATGAAGTAAACGAGCTGAACAGAAGCTTGCAAAGGGCGACCTGAGAAGACAAAATAAAGTATTACAATGACATGTGCAAAGACCTGGTGTTAGAAAACCAAAAGGGAAAAATATGATTGGCATTTCTTAAGCTGAAAGAACCGAAGAAAAAATTCAAGCCTCGAGTGGCAATGTTGAAAGATTCTATGGGCAAAATACTGAACGACACAGGAAGCATCAAAAGAAGGTGGAAGGAATACACGAAGTCACTGTACCAAAAAGAGTTGGTTGACGTTCAGTCATTTCAGGAGGTAGCGTATGATCAGGAACCGATGGTAATGAAGGAAGAAGTCTAAGCTGCGCTGAAGACGATGGCTAAAAACAAGGCTCCCAGCATGGATGGAATACCAGTTGAGATGTTTCAACAAACGGATGCAGCACTGGAAGTGCTCACTCATCTGTGCTAAGAAATTTGGAGGACAGCTACCTGGCCAACCAGCTGGAAGAGATCTATATTTCTGCCTATTCCAAAGAAAGGTGATCCAACCGAATGTGGAAATTATAGAACAATATCATTAATATAACATGGAAGTAAAATTTTGCGTAAGACTCCAGTAAATACATGAGACTAAATGGGCAGCTCCTGTCCAGAGGCGAGATGAGAAGGCAGAGGGTCAGGAGCTGGTTGGATGGACATGGGAAATCTGGGGTGGAAAGGAGTGTGCTGTCACAGTATAGGGAGAGCAACTGGGGTTACATAACTGTGTAAATTTTTGTATGACACACTAACTTGGATTGTAAACTTTCATTTAAAGCACAATAAAAAAATAAAGTAAAATTTTGCTTAAGATCATTCAAAAGCGGTTGCAGCTGTACATCAACAGGGAACTGCCAGAAATTCAAGGCAGACTCAGAAGAGGACAAGGAACCAGGGATATCATTGCTAATGTCAGATGGCTCCTGGCTGAAAGCAGAGACTACCAGAAAGGTGTTTACCTGTGTTTTATTGACTCTGCAGCGGCATTTACGTGTGTGGATCTTAACAAATTATGGATAACATTTCGAAGAATGGGAATTCCCGAATACTTAATCATGCTCATGAGGAGCCTGTATGTAGGTCAAGAGACAGTTGTTTGACTAGAACAAGGGGGTACTGTGTGGTTTAAAGTCAGGAAAGGTGTGCGTCAGGGTTGTATCGTTTCACCATACTTGAATCTATATACTGATCAAATAATTCAAGAGGCTGGACTATATGAAGAAGAACAGGGCATCAGGATTGGAGGAAGACTCATTAATAGCCTGCATTACACAGATGTCACAGCTTCCTTGCTGGAAGTGAAGAGGACTTGAAGTACTTAAGATCAAAGACTACAGCCTTCAGTATGGATTACACCTCAATATAAAGAAAAGAGAAATCCTCACAACTAGACCAATAAGCAACATCATGATAAACAGTGAAAAGATTGAAGTTGTCAAGGATTTCATTCTACTTGGATCCCCATGGAAACCCATTGAAGTAGGAGTCAAGAAATCAAATGACGCGCTGCATTGGGTAAATCTGCTGCAAAAGACCTCTTTAAAGTGTTAAAAAGCAAAGATGTCACTTTTAGGACTAAGGTGCGCCTGACCCAAGCCCTAGTGTTTTCAGTCACCTCATATGCATGCGAAAGCTGGGCACTGATAAGGAACATCAAAGAATTGACACCTTTGAGTTACGGTGTTGGCAAAGAACGAACGTTGAACATTCCACGGACTGCCAAAAGAACAAATCTTTGTCTTGGAAGAAGTACAGCCAGAATGTTCCTTAGAAACGAGAATGGCGAGACTTCCTCTCACATACTTTGGACATATTATCAGGAGGGACCAGTCCCTGGAGAAGGACATCACGCTTGGTAAAGTAGGGGATCAGCAAAAAAGAGGAAGAACTTCAGTGAGATGGATTGACACAGTAGCTGCAACAGTGGGCTCAAGCATAACAACAATCATGAGGATGGCACACGACTGGGCAGTGTTTCGTTCTGTTGTACATGGGGTCACTATGAGTCGGAACTGACTCAATGGCACCTAACAACAACAGATATTTACATACACAGAAGGTGTCTTAGTTTGTTAGCGCTGCTGAAAGAAATACAAGTATCTGCTGCTTTTCAGAAGTGTGCTCTATGCCACTTTGCTTTTACGAAAAACCCACTATTAGTACCTGTTTTCACTAACAGAAGGAAATCTGAAGCTTTTATTTAAAAAGGCGAAAAGCAGGAATAGCGTTCAGCATTTGTTTTGCAGCAAGCCATTAAAAATGATAACCTATGTCTAGTTGTACAGTAAACGTAATACTCTTACAAGCTTCCGAGCAGTGACAGTGGTGTCACCTAGCTCCTTCCCCAGACACTGCACTCAGCATCCCAGCATCAGGCCGCCATAGCTTTGAACTGTGTCTGTGAGCATCTGTGCTTTATCTCGAGTTTTTTATGCGTCCTTTGGCAAGAGGTGTCCTAAGGTATCAGAAAAGCCTAAGAGAGCTCATTGTTACACTTAGCGTAAAAGTGGACGTAGATTATTTTTTGGGTCTGCGAACACTCAAAAATTTTACCCACATAAATTAATGGTAATTGCTTCTTTACTATACACTATCTCAGCTTACAAAAGGTTTCATAAGAATGCTCTACTTTCAGATAGCAGAGGACACCTGTCCACAAGTGGGCGGCTTTAAAGAAATTTATTTCTTACAGTTCAGTAGGCTAGAAGACCAGATTCGGGGCACCAGCTCTAGGGGAAGGCTCTCTATCTTTGTCGGCTCCGGGGGAAGATCCTTGTGCCTTTTAGTATCTGTAACCCCAGTGTTCCTGGATGCCTTGGCAACCCTCGCGTGGCATGTCTTGCACAGTGTGTGCTTGCTTGTTTCTGTGTCTGTGCTGCTCCTTATTACTCAGGAGTGATTGGACTGGAGACACGCTACACGGGTAATGGGCATAGGAACCTAACAAAGAAAACCTATTTCCAGACAGGATTGCATTCCGGGTAGAGGATTTAGGATTCCAACATAGTTTTCAGGGTTACACTTCAGTCCCTAACAGGAAGAGACCATAAATCAGAGTCTGTCTTTTCCTCTGCCCTGACGTCTTCTCCATATTGTTCTCCAATGTGGTGTTTGGTGTGTGTGTGTGTGTCCTGGAGAGTCATGGGCATCAGTTCAGATAGCTTGGCCTTGCTCTTAGGAACTGCCACATAGTGTTTTGTGGTGTGTATGAGCCGTACTTCCTTAGCCAGGACTTTGTGACAGGTGCCAGGTTGTTTTTCTCATTGCCTCTCCCATTTCAGTACTCCTGACACCGAGACCCTCAGGCCCCCCTGCAGTCTTTCTCTCCCTATCTCCCCCAACCACCCCGCCTTCCCACTGCCAAGGCTTTGTCCAGGTTGTTTCTCGGCAGGAAGTGTTCCTAGTTCCTTCTCCATCCTGGTGACCTTGCCCTGGGCTCCCACCTGCTCAAGGCTCCAGGTTGGGGCGAAGAAGGGGCCCAAGACAGTAGATGCAGGTGTGGAGCTTGGGCTCTGAATGACCAGCATGCCTGAACCCTGACCACCTAAGAAATCGGGGTGGATGTCTTTTTAGGGTACAAAGAGAATGCAAATGCTGCTGTCCTGTTCTTGAGTGAGAAACCGTACCGGGGGTGTGTCAGGAATCACTCAGAGGCCCCCAGCCCAGTCTTTTCCCTGCACAGATTGGCGGAGAAGCAGCCGTGGAGCTCGTGCCCTCCATAGGGCCCCCTCCTGCTCTAACTGGGACTGTAAGAGTCTGGGGCCTGGTAAGGAAGTGACTGGGGCCAGGCTGTCTGCCACTGGCTGGATTTGAGTGCCCCGTCCCCATTCCCTCCCTGAGCTGCGGGTGACCCCGTACAGTTATTCCCGCCTTTGTTTCTGACAGGTTCCTGTGCTCCCCCTGGCAGCCTCCCTTGCAAGTAGGTGTGCTCTTGCTCAGGGCCCCCTTCCCTCCCCTCAGCTGCTTCCTCTGTCCTCCCTCTGGGCATTGCTGGGCAGACCCTGCTTGGGCTCTAGCTTTTGATCCAGCTCTGAGGAAGGCTGCCTTGTGTGACGGGGCCCTCTAGCTCCATACCTCAGTTTCTCCCATCTGTACGGGACTTTGGACCAAGCCAGTGGTTCCTGGGAGTCTCTGGGTAGTGTAAGTGGTTAACACTTGGCTGCTAACTGAAAGGTTGGAGGTTTGAGTCCACCCTGAGACTCCTCAGAAAAAAGACGTGGCGATCTACTTCCTAAAAGTCACCCATTGAAAACCCTGTTGAGTATGATTCCACACACACCCAGGGTCACCATGAGTCAGATTTGACTCTGTGGCACTTGGTTTTAATGGTTCCTGGCCTGTTGGGCCCCTTTCCTCTCCAGAGAGTGATTCCTTCCCTACTTGTCCTCATCAGATAGAGTTCTGGTGTCAGCACATCCTTTTGGCTTGGACACTCTGGCCAGAGGGCACATGTGGGGAATGGTCATGGTGGCTGTGACCCTGCTGGCACTACCCTGGCCTGGGGCAGACAGAACCAGGAGTCTGGATGACTTTGAAGGCCGGAAGATAGAACTGAGGGTGTGTGGGGTCTGCAGCCTGACTTTGTGTTCATTTTCCAGGTGACTTTGACACTGAGGCTGGAGCTGTGCCCCCCTCAGAACCCACCATGGCAAGAGAGGAGCCAGAGAGCCTAGCCTTGGCTCAGAAGTCACCAGCCCCCAAGGCCAGGAAGCCAGGGAAGAAGCCGCCAACTCCTGGTGCAGAGAAGGCAGAGGCAGCCGCTGGGGGAGGGTCCTCTGGTGGTGCCTCACCTACACCAGCTGCCAGCGCCAGCCCACCCAGCCCCACGCTGAGGACCCGCTTCCGCAACCTGCTGGAGACCGCCTGGCTCAATGGCCTGGCACTGCCCACTTGGGGCCACAAGGCCTCAGGACAGGACCGGCCCTCGCCCCGCCCCCAGCTGTTGGGAGGCCAGAGCAACCCCCTGTAGCATCGGTTGCTGTCTGGGGGGTCACTGTCTGCACCCCTCTCCCTGCCTGCCCAGCCCTCCAGGGTCAGAGGTAGACATGCCCTTGGAGTTCTCCAACCACTTCCCTGCCCCCCGGCTGGGCTGAGAGCTACTTACTTTTAACTTAAGGCTCTTTATTAGAAAGGACTACTTCGTGTTTCTTCGTAAGAGAAAAAGTGTGGGCTTGGGAGCCCGACAGGCTTGGGCTTGAGTCCTGGCTCCTTTGCCCCTTGCTGTGACCTGGGTGAGTCACTGCACCTCTCTTGAGCCCCAGATTCCCTGTTTGTAAAATAGAACAACACAACCTACCTCACAGGGTTGTTGTGGGGACGATGCCTGACACACACCCAGCACCATTCAGTCTCTGCTTCCTCCTGGGGCAGGGCTTTAACTCTGCCAGGGCCTAGGATAGCTGAGGCGAGCAGAATCTCCTTGTAGAAAGCCTATGTGTCATAGGACTTGTTCTCTTATAGCGGTACATTGTACAGTGTATATGACTCACACACACACACACACCTTCTGGAGTCATCCCCCAGGAAGGCTTGGGGCTTATAGCCCTTGTGTTTGAAGTTGGGCCCTAACTCCCAGCCTGGAACTCCTTGAGGGAGCCTGCCCCTCCCTATCCCCACTACTGGTGCCTGGGGCTGGCATCCTTGTTCTGGGCCACTACTCCCAGGCATGCCCTGAATTGACGGCGGTGATTTCCCTGAGCTGTCCACACCCCCCTACCTGTGCATTATCCCATGAAAGTTGTGTTTTCTGGAAGCCAAGCAGCTGCGGGGACTCAGGGACTAGAGGGACAGGCTGAGTGGCAGCTCAGTCCTAGGAGGTCTCTGAAGATACGAATTGGGGATGTGCCTCCCCTTCCCCCCAACACCGGAGCTCTGTCAGCCAGGCCTGCTGTGGGCTCCCTCCCAGCAGTCTGCTGAGCTGAGCCAGAGGCTGGCAAGCTGAGGCACTTGGCCTAGTTAATGTTTTATATAAGGCTGTGGGCCCTGGAGGCAGGCCATTAAAGCATTTCAGTTGTTTTTGGAACCGGAGCCTGGCTGTGTGTGTGTTGGTGTGGGCCTTTGGGTAGTGGGTTTCATACTGCATCACAGTGTACCTGGCCCCTTGCTCACAGGCAGCAGCTACCCCTGTGCCCACCCTGGAAGGCACTGAGGGTCTCTAGAGTGGTTGTGTGGCTAGCTCTGGACATACAGGCTCTTCTCACACGCCCACTGGACAGCAACTTCCCTACTTAGAGAAAGCCCCTCCATCTTGAGGCTCCTGTGGGTCCTAGTGGATTGTTGGTCTGCAGCCCAATGAGAAATGCTGGTCACCAGACCCCAAAACGTACCCCTCTCCCAGGACCGAGGATGGTACCCACCAAAGTCTAGGTAGAACAGAATTGTCACCACCCTCCCTGTGCTGGTGACTGCAGCCCACTGAAGGACAGCCCCTCTCCCAGCTTAGCTGGAAGAGTTGGTGACTGGGCCCACCCTCCCGAGACCTGCCCCTACTGGCCTCCACTCCCCCAGAGGTTTGTTGACAGGACTGGGGGGTGGTTTTCCACCTGGTAGCCACTCCACCTGGGCTGGGAGCCAGTCAGCTAGGGCTTGTCAGGCCTGCCTGGCGTCGGTCCTAGTCCCTGTGGGTCCTCACTGAGCCCTGCTCACCGAGCCTTCCCTTGCCACCCGGCCGGCCAACTCCTGGACTTGGGCTAGGCCAGGATTTGGAGTAGCAGCCACCACCACCCCCTCTACCCTGATTACACCCCTGAGAGAGGTTCCCTGGCCTGTGAACAGGATAGGCTGCTCTGACATTGGGGTCAGTACAGTGACAGGACCTGGGGGGAGGAGCCTATCCAAGGGTGGGTGTGGGGGTGTCCGTGACTCCCAGAAGAGGTGATGCCTCAACTGGGCCTTGAAGACAAGAAGTAAAGTGTGAGGTGTGGTCTGGGCAAAGGCGCTGAGTTATATCTGGGAAGCGGAAACACCTGGGTATGGCTGGAATGCAAGGAACAAGAAAGGGAAGGAGGACCGGGTGGGAAATCTAGCTCGAAATCCAACAGATTTATCATTACATCACATCAACTCACTAAATCCCGCAACATGAAAAGTAGGGGGGATGGTCCATGTGTTTTACAGAAAACTGAAGTGAGCAAGTTTGAATCACCTGAGGCGCTTCCATAGGAAGGGAGGAAACGGTGGAGAGGCTCTGAATCCTGGGCTTCCCCAGGCCCTGGGCCTGACCTCCACACCTGCATGCCAGGTCCTCACCTTGACCACGATTACAGGGCCTGGCCTGAGGCCTGCTCAGCACCTGAGTCCATCAACCCACCTGTGGCCCCAGAGGACCCATAACGGAGCAGAGGCTGGGTGGGAGTGGCGTCAGGCAGGCTCCGCTTGAAGGAGGTAGCTGCTCTCCTTGAGATAGCACTATCCTAGGAGCCCCAACCTGAGGGCGGTCTTAGGGGAGAACTCTAGTCTAAGGGAGGAGACATGACAGTGTCCCAGGGAGCCCTAGCCTGGGCGGGGGGCAGAAACAGACTGCCCCAGAACTCCTAGCTTAGCTTCCCCATCTCACATCACTTTTCACAAAGTGTGTTCCACCTTTTGGTAGGAGTGTTGATGGCTAGGAGCTGAGGAAGGAAGGTGTATTGGGGCAGGGGGCTGAATGTGCTAGGCCCACCGCACTCCTCAGGGAAACTGGAGCAGGGCTCACCTCTACCTTGGTTGACTGTGACTTCTAGCCCCACAATTCCCTGTAACCAACTGAGGCTCCTGGGCCAGGCCTAGGCGGGGCTTCTCAAGCAGGAACACCTGGTAAAGTTTCCTGGTTTCCCCCCACTAGGCTTGCAAGGAGATTCTGAGTCAGGTGTCCGGGAATCATGCTTTGAGTAACACCACCAACATACTCCCTCCCTTAGGTTACAGATGGGGAAACTGAGGCCCAGGAACTTGCTAACGGATCACAACAAGTCAGGGGCAGTCAAGATGTAGGCAGGCCATGACCCTCTGTACCCGGCTGCTTGGCCCTCTTGGTCTAGCCCCGATCTGCCCTCAGCTGGGCCTCGCTCTGCCCAGGTGGTGTTGCTGGGCCAGCATACCTGTCTCTTGCCCTAAGCTAATAAAAGAGGGGGCTCAGGTGAGGCTCCTAGCTCAGGTAAGGCCCTGCCTCCTTGATGCCCCAGCTGGCACCCCAGCCCAGTACAAAAAGCTGAGGGGCCCAACTGGCTAGCTTTGCTGACAGGAGTTAAGCCTGCGAGAAGGTGAGTGAGCTGGGAGGGGACGGTTGTCTTGTGAGCTGGTGTCTGGGAGGGGAAACTTGGCCCCCAGCGCAGGGCAACGTCTGGGTGAGGTTTTCAAGACCGCCCTCCCCTTTGTAACCTCAGGTGCTTCCTTCCCTGCTTGTTCTCTCTAAGAGGGTTAGGCTGAAGGGGCCAGGTCTCCCCTAACCCCCTCAGGGAAATCTGGGAGCAAGGCCAACTCTGACCTGACTGACTGTGCCTCTTCTGACCCCACAGCAACCCTGCTGGAGATGGGAAGGCTGCCTCCAGCCCGCGGGTCCAGCCCCCTAGCCCAGCCTGCTGCCTCTTCAGACCCAGCTGAGGAGGCCTTGGGCTGCCCTGAGTATGAGGAATGTCACAGGAGCCCTCCGGCCAGTGGGCTCTGGGCGTTGCTGCTGCTGGCTGTTGTCCTCTGTGCTCTCTGGACCTCTTCCCTGGGCAGCTCCCCCACCCCCCACCCCCTGGTACCCTCCAACGAGGAGCCCCCAGCCCAGCCCTGTGCAGCCCTTCCAGGCCCCCCTCTGCTTCCAAAGAAGAGAATGGCCCCGGGACAGGGGAAGGAGCAGCAGAGCCCCTCCCATCTCTCCTCCTTGGCTGGACGTGAGCCCCTGGACTGGACTGAGGCTGGCAGGCAGGTGGGGGGCTCCTTGGGCACGCTGCCTGCTGCCTCTATGGGGACCCCAACCCTGGACTTTCCGACCACTGCCCACTCAGAGGTTTCTGAGCTGGTGGAGTTATCCACACCATCATCCACACCACCTGACAGATTCCCCAGGCTGCTCTGGTCCCCGTGTCTCCAAAGTCCCTGCCCCCTTCTTAGAGAGGCCCAACTCCCATGTCCCTGTGTCTCCTCAGGGCAGTGAGAACCTGGGCTCCTGGGAAGGGGGCGCCGAGCCCCTGAGTCCCTTGGAAGGATCTCCTGAGGTTACTTGGCCTGGCAGGGGGCGCCCTGCTTCTCTCCCCACCAGCCCCTGCATGAAGGCACCTGCAGCCCCCTGTCCTCTGATAGGGGTGATGGGGCCGGGGCAGGCTCCCCTCCAAGTCCTGACTGTATCCTCAAGCTCCTCTCCAACCTGTAGTTCAGAACCTGGGCCCCTAAGCTTGGCAGCTGCTTCTCCTCAAATCCTACAAACCTCCCAGACCCAAGACCTCCCTCTCAGAGGGGCTGAGGGCTCTGCTTGGCACCCCACAGCTCGGGAGCTAGGGGCTTCTGCCAGCCTTCTGTCTGCTGCAGCTTCAGTGAGACCTGCCTTGAGTAGCCAGGAGACCTTGGAGACAGCCCCTAAGCAGGGAGGCCTGAGTTCCTCAACAGACCTGAGGCCCCCTGCCTTACTCTTCACAAGGCTTGACACCCCTTGTGTGCAGGACAGTCAGGGTAGTTCTGTCCAGCCTTCACTGCCACCTCTCAGCTTGCCACCTCCTGGTACTGTGGACACACCTGGATGCCAGCTTGCAGAGGCCAGGGCTTCCCCGGCCCTGCCCACCGGTTCCCTGGCAGCTCTTCCAAGCCCAGCAGGCAGCCAGTGTCCCCAGCTATGGACAGGCTGGTCCTCCCCGGCAGATCTGCTTGGTGCTTCCCCAAAGCTGCCTTCCATCCCAGTGGGCATCCCAGGTGTCCAGCTTCTGGTAGCCCAGTCCCTTCCAGCTGCTGCCCGCTTGGTGCCTCCTTCCGGACCTGTGAGTGCCTCAGGCTCTTGGCTACCACCACCTG